CTCTCCTGCTCTCTGTCTCTCATTCTCTCTCTCTCAAATAAATAAATAAAATCTTAAAAAAAAAAAAATCTACCCAGAGATATTTCTAAAATCCATCATTTTCCAAAAGGCTAGCCCCAGGGAATTGGTACATGGGCTAATCTGGGGTTTTATTTGTATTTTGAGGTGAAGTAACCCAAGATTTATGGTATTTTATTCAGTTCCCTAAATGTACATTTGGTTTCCTTGATTTATTTAATAACTTGGAGTGACCACCCAGGTGCCCTAATGCTCCTAATGGAGTGACTAAGGATGTTTGGTCATTGTTTTAATTACTAATCACATACTGTGTCTTCTTGCCTCATATAAGTAACAACATTCTTATCCAAATGTTCTGATTACTACATTTTAAAAAGTAGTGTCACAACATACTTAAGAGAACTGGTTGTTTTTTGTTTTGTTTTTGTTGTTGTTCCTGTTTACATCATGGTGATTCTACCTCTGAAGATTTTTCCTAGCAAATGATCCGTCACCAGGATTACTCACAGACTCCAGTATTCAAAATGTCATCTCTTAAGTTTCCTTATTTTGAAATATCTGTAACTCTTCTGAATAATGCAAAAAATATGAATGAATGAATAACATAACAGAGAAACTCTTTCTAAAAGTTATTAGAAAAAGATCCTTTATTTAACTGTGCCTAATGCTTTGGGGTATCCCAGTGAACTATGCCTTTAAAGACAAGTGGTTATGTACTAATATCTTGGCCCTGAAATTTTTGGGTCTTCTTTTGAATTGAATGAAAATTCATTCAACAAAACAAAATTGTTTTGTTTTTCTGTAGTCCAGAAAAATTCTGTCTTTATTTTCAAGTTACCTTAAAACTTTAACATGCGAATTTTACTTAGCTAAATCTGAATTTCATCAGTAGTATTAACTTCTGAACAATATGAAGACTTTATAAAATGCATTCATTCTGATTTCTCCTCCTGACTTAACTTGCTATTATTATCATCCAGATTTTAACTCCACTTGCATTAAACCCACAAATTCGGCATCATCATCATCATCATCCTGTTTAGATTTTCTCACATTCACCATTTTGTTTGCTAATCATCCCTTCTTGCATTCAGAGCTTCTGGAATCAAACCCTAGTTCCTGTCATTTTGGACTGGTTGGCAGTCTCCAGGACAATCAGATAGTTAGTTGCCTCGAGAGGAAAACGGGAAGAGTCCTGGGAAATATGACCCCTCTCCCCAACAATGCTGCCTCCTGTGCCCCCATAACTAGAGACATCCCTGTGTATTTCCTCCTACCCTCTAATTAGCGTTTTATGGAGTAGAGAAGAACAAGAAAATCTGATAGGATACTGAAGTTAAATACATTCAATTTGAAGAGCTGTCATGTTTTTCTGAGATCGTATTCTTCCTACCCTTTTTGCTATTAAAATTATCTTTATTTTAGGGGCGCCTGGGTGGCTAAGTCAGTTAAGCATCTGACTCTTCATTTCGGCTCAGGTCATGATCTCAGGGTTGTGAGATGGAGCCCTGAGTCTGCCTCTGCTGGGCATGGAGCCTGCTTAAGATTCTCTCTCTCCCTCTGTGCCCTGCCCCCCACCTTAAAAAAAAATCTTTATTTTATAATATAATGGTGATGGTAATTGAAGTTTGGGGTTTTTTTAATTAATTAAATTTTGTTTTAAAATTTTTTTACTTGGCATATACAACATCGCCAATCACAACCCAGATGTTTTGAAATTTTATGGATCTTGAAATCCCAAGCCACTGCTGTAGACAGCTACCTGTGATTTTGAGTGTGGATATTGGGTCACCTGAAAATACGCCCTCTTGGTTACATCAGGGACCTTAGTGGTTTTTCAGGTGTATACAAATCCTACAGTGTTAACAGTACTTTGCAACCTTTTATTGGGTTATCAAGCAGTCCTTAGTACTCCCAACGATTGAAATCATTTTTTACATAAGGCTGAGTCTATACTAGCAAAATGTCTTGGGAACATCATGCACACCCCGCATATATCTGGTGATGTTAATGTTCTCATTTTTTTTTTTTTTTGAAGATTTTATTTATTTGAGAGAGAGAAAGAGTGAGCGGGAGGGAGAGGGAGTGAGAAACTGAAGGAGACTCCACGCTGAGTGCAGAGCCCAATGTGGGGCTTGATTCCATGACCTCAAGATCATGAGGCCTCAGAGACCTGAGCCAAAACCAGGAGTCGGACGCTTAACCAACTGAGACACCCAGGTGCCCTAATGCTCCCAATGTTTTAAGAACACCATTTTGAGAGTCACATGATCTAAAATTTGGCCAATAACTTTGTCTGCCTTACTCATGATGTAAGGGGTTGGACTGTGATCCCCAAGTTTCTTTTCACCACTAACGTAGGTTATGATTGTAGTTTTGATGCCACTATCTTCGTAGATGTTCTTTCCTCATCTCCCTGTGAATGGTCAGTATGAAGCCTGCACAGAATGACTTGAGTTCTCATTTCCCTTTGTAAACAATGGTCATGTATAAATGCAGCCACAGTGTTTATTGCAAAGGGTCACAATTAAGAGTATTGTTTAATTGTCATATGCTTGACACTGACAGTCTTATTAGATGTTCAGTCATTACTATAATGTAGACAAATAATTATGAATTAAAGATGCACCAACTACAGATTTTAGAGATCTCTGAATTCATGACGAAGTTGTTAATTGGCAAGCTTGTTATTTCCTGTAAGTACAAGGAAAGGAAGTATTAAAAGTCATCGTATTAATTTGAGAGAGGAAATTAACGTTTCCTAAAAAATTCTCTTCTAGTGAAGGAAGCCCGTCCCCCAGAATGGAGCTGCTGCATAATATCGACCCAAACTTTGTGGATATTTCACCGTGTGAGTACCTCATTTATCGCTACTAAACTCAATCTTTTTAGCTCGCAAAAACATTTTTATTGCCTGGTGTGTCTCCAGCCTCACTTTCTCCTTTTCCACTTGCGTTTGCTGTCCGGATAAACAGTTTTCCATAACACCTGTTGCACTGACCTCCCTGTGGCTTTGGTGCCACGGAGGGTAAATGCTGTTCGTGGCCCTGCCACTTACTGGCTATATGACCTTCAAGCCATTTCATCTCCCTGCCTCAGCTTTGCCATAGGATCTCAGAGGCTCCTGCTCACTGGGAACGTCATGTTGTTGTTGCTCTCTTCTCACCTGAGAGCTCCAGAGCCTTCTTCCAGGAAACCCAAGGTCAGATAAGCCACCGCATCATCTGATGGAGCTGGCCAGGTGCTGCTCAGCACCTGCTGCGTCTCACAGGTGTGACTTCCCTAGCAATCCTGAAAGTCATTTGGCTTGATTTTGTCTCCTGCCTAAGTGGAGCCATAGGTAGCCCCATTAATTCCTCAGGGAAAGAGGCCGTTTGTGCTCTCAGATCACCACAGGTTTCATAGTCCTGTGTAAATACCATGCTAGTGGCCCTATGAACCCTAGCCTAATGGGTTTGGGTCTGGAAAAGCCTTAGCTCTTAGGCCCTTTGTCCAGCCTCCATCATCAAGCCTCTTCTTGAGACTCCACAAAACAGTGCTCTTCCATTCCGTTCATTCCCTTGGGTGCTGACATCCGTCCTTTCTAGACATACTGCCTGCCACCCTTTCATTCATTCATTCCATTGTTCAGGCTTTCCTGACTTCCTTGTCCTCTCCAGTCTGTGCCATAACCTGCCCCAGGATTTCCCTGCTCAGACAACAAGCCCACAGTGGTTGTGTGTCTGCAGGCTCTTAAGGCCCCACTCACCCCACCAGCCGCCTCCAGCCCAGTCCTCGCCCTGCTCGACACTTGCCTTTTCCAAGCATGATCGTCATGTTTTGTCTTGAATATGCTTTTCTCTGTGGCTGAAACACCTTTCCCTGCCCTTCCACAATTTTTCCTCATCCCTTAAAACTCAACACAAATGTCTCATGTATGTGAATGCTTCTTGGAACCCCAGAAAGTCCTTCCTCAGCATCCTTTTGTATGTATCTGTGGGTAAAGCCTTCAGCAAATTCTCTTGTATGTGCCTTCATATTCCACCAAGGTGAGAGCTCCTGGAAGTCAGGATCTAGGTCTTATTTATCTTTTCATCCTCATAAGTTAACACGAATACCCAGCACTGGGCAGGCTCTCAGTGATGATTACTTGATGACTAATGGAAGAGTGCTGGGATAGAATTAGGACCAAAGTGGAAAGGAAAGGGCCTGAGGCAGGTCGAGATGGCTATAGTATGGAGAAATTGCTGTTTCTATTGTAGTAACTTAAGTCCGCGAGAGAGGCAAGGGTGGTTATAGGTCTATATGGTAGCCACTAGCTATATGTGGCTTTCAAACCCTTGAAATGTAGCTAACTGTGAATTGAGATGTGCTGCAAGTATAAAGCACACATTGGATTTTGAAGACTTAGTATGAGAAATGTGAAATGTATCATAACATGTATTTACTCGTTGAAATGGCAATATTTTAGATATGTTGAATTAAATTTATTATTAATTTCACCTGTTTCCTTTTCCTTTTCTATGTGGTTAATAGATAATTTAAAATTACATGTGAATTTGCATTGTACTTCTATTAGTCTAGAAGGATTGTTCTAGCAGGTGCCAGGAAGTGATTGGATCAGCTGTGTAGGAAGAGCACAGACCCGTGACTACTTACTGTGGCCATGACATCCATGGTTTCTAACCTTTTCTCTGCCCCAGCATACCAAAGGGGTGTGACACATTCTAGTCTAGAGCAGTGATTCTTAACCAGTGATATCAGAATCTCTGGGGGTGGCCAGAACGGAAGAGGGGAGGCAGGAAGGGTTTTTAAAACTTCTAGGTAGTTTAATGCACCGCAAAACCCAGTATGACATCCAAGGATGTGCTGAAGATGCTGCGCACATTGTAATGGTTGTCAGCTGTCCTTACTAAGTTCCATCTACAAATGAAAAGGCGCCCCCACTCACCAAGCTGAATTGTTCTTAGCATCAGAAATGGGGGGGGTGCGCCTGGGTGCTCAGTTGGTTAGGTGTCTGAATCTTGGTTTGGGCTCAGGTCATGGTCTCAGGGTCATGAGATTGAGCCCTATGCTGGGCTCCACGCTGGGCATGGAGTCTGCTTAAGATTCTCTCTCTCCTTCTGCCCCTCCACCCCCCCCTTGCGTGCGCGTGCTCTTTCTCTGGAAGGAAGGAAAGGAGGGAGGGAAGGAGGGAGGGAAGCTTAAGTTCTGTATTTCCGTGTAACCCGGCCACAGCCCTGCTGGCTGCCTGCCATGGTTTTTGCTACCTTTCCCACAGTGCCCCAGCTCAATCCCAGCACAGGCACAAGGTTTCTCCAGTATAAAAGTTAAGGAGGGCATGGAAATCAGAATAGAAAATCATTTTAATTTTGCCACCCATAGTTTATAAGGCCTTAAGCAAGTCCCTCCACTTTTCTTTGCCTCAGTTTCCCACATATTGAATGACGGACTGACGATGACCCTTTACTGCTGTCCCAAATTCAGGGACATTTTCTGGCCTTCTGCTGCCCCCACCCTCTCCTTGAAGCCCACTCCTGGCCTCCCTGTTGGCCTTCCCTGCCAACCAGGGACTCTTGCTCTGACTCCTGCTTGTAACGATGGACATTTTCCACTGTTGGCATCAACATAGAACCACATTCACTGTTGGTTCACAGAAACAGGGCATTCACTTCTGTCTCTGCCTACAAGTAGCAAAGTGCCCCTCCTCCTCACATACATGCAACACCTTGGGCTTTTCTCCCTAGTTTAGTTTTTATATTCATTTCAATCCACTGTGCAGCAGAAGCTAAAAAAAAAGGAGAGCTATCTTTGGGGACCCACTCCTTCACCAGAGGATGATACCAGCTCATTTCCTTTTCTATGCAGTTAATTGGGGGGGGGGGTTAAATCTAACTCTAAGAAAATATGTATTTATAGGACAACAACCAAGTCTGTGAAGATTGAATTAAATGATGTCTCAGGTCCCTCCCAGCTTCAATATTCTGTGGGTCTCTGTAGAAATAGGATCTCAAAGGAGCAAAACTGCTGACTCAGTTTCTCTCCTTTTCCACCCTGTGCACATTAGTAAGCAGTGATGTAGCCAAAGGCATGGTTGTACATAGATAAATACAAGTGAAAATGTTAGAAACATTATAAATGCTAGAGTAATTTGAATTGTAGGATTTTATTATTACTACATCCTGCCCACTTTTCTGATGCCTGGTCTAAAACATCACTGCATCAATCCACTTTTCTGTCTGCCCTCTCCCCTTTAGTGGGTCTTGTTGGGGGTTGTGGACCAGTGTCTCCTCCTATCATGAATCAGAGGAGCAGGCATTAGACGTTTCCCAGGGGAGCCCTGCCTTCTAAGTAGTACCACATCCCCTCAGAAGCTGGCCTTTTGGGGTTTAACAGCTCTACGCTCTCCCTCTTATTCTTAGAGTACAGGGCACCCCCAGAGGCCCTTCCTACTGGTAGAGTTGGGGCTTTTTTCATGGCCGCATACTCTTGGTACATTGTGGGTTGGGTATGAATAATAAAGATATTCCCAGAAGACTGGGACAGACACAGGCACACACCAGAGGTCATAGGGTTTCCCATAGACCAGGAGATTATGCAGTAAAGGATGAACGGTCTCAAATAACCACAGATCACACCCATTAGAATGGCTGCTATGAAAAGGAAAGAAAGGAAGAAAGAAAAAAGGAAGGAAAATAAGAAGTGTTGGTGAGGACATAGAGAAATGGGAACACGTAGGCATGTTGGTGGGAATGTAAAATGGGAATGCGCTGTTGGTGGGACAAAGGGACAAATAAAATGTGGTACACGCATTCAGTGGGCTACCGTTCAGCCTTAGAAAGGAAGGAAATTCTGGTGCATGATACACCATGGATGAACCTTGAGAACGTTTGTGGAATAAGCCAGTCACAAAAAGACAAATACTGCATGATTCCACTTAAACGCGGTACCTCGTATAGTCAAAATTATGGAGACAGAAAGTAGAATGGGGGCTGCCAGAGGCTGGAGGGGACGAGACGGGGAATTCGTGTTTAATGGGTGTAGTTTCAGTTTTACAAGACGAAAAGAGTTCTGTGGGGGGATGTGGTGAAGGTTGCACAACTATGTGAATGTACTTAGTGCCACTGAACTGTACATTTAAAAACAGTTAAAATGGTAAATTTTATTTTTTTTACCACAATTCAAAATAAATAAATGTAAAATGTAAAACCAAAGAAAAGCATAGAAATTCATGAGGCCAGGGTCTGTATCTTTTTCATTTACTGCCGTATCCCCCGTGCATAGCACAGAGCCTGCCGTCCTAGTCATTTCTCGGCAAATACTTGTTAATGACTAATAATAGATCATCGGGTTAAAGTCATTGTCTTACTGTCTCTTAGCCTTTCCTGAACCTAAAGGACCTCCTGAAAGGCAATTCACACCCACCTTTTAATCCCTGAACTTGCATCTTACATTTTGTTCTTACATAAAAATAATTTAATTAAGGGCGCCTGGGTGGCTCAGATGGTTAAGCGTCTGCCTTCGGCTCAGGTCATGATCCCAGGGTCCTGGGATCGAG